TTCAGACCCCAACAGTTCCGATCAATGTACGGTCTGTACGGAAGCAGCGGTAGAAGACATAATACACTGCCTAATACAATGTAAGGAGGCAACGGACTATTGGGCGAGAGCCTCAGCACTATGGGACTCCTTATTCCTGACSCSCTTCCCTGAGSAACCCATCCAACTCCTCCTCCTGACTAACATTCCCGAACAGTTCAAGAAGCCTGAAAGGATTTGGTTCGGAATCATAAGGAAAGTGACATTGTGGGTCATTTGGAAGGAAAGATGCAGCAGGACGATTGAAGGAATAGCCAACGCACGTGAAAAAGTTTGGACCGATACCAAAACGATGATTCAAGCGGAGATCCTATGCAGATGGCGGAAGATCAAACAATCATGGACAGAAGATGAGGACCAACAAAGAAAGGCGAGGCTGAGCTTCAGCAGAACCTGGCTGTTAAATGGTAAAGTGGCGGACCTAAGAGAAGATCGCATCTGCTGGAAAGAATGGCACAACTCAAGTTCAGGGAGGGGTCACCAGCAACATACATCSGTGGAAGGACAAAACTTACTCTGACCAGAATGATCACAAGAGAGATCGATGGCTGCAGCATCGGAGCGACGGTCCAGAGAGGAATGCAAGGTGTAAGGAGGAAGGACACCAGCAAACTGTAAAGAGAGGCCCAAAGTTCAGCTAAGCTTGGACAGGGGACGAGTGACAACAAACACCTCTTTATGAAGCCTGCAAACGTCTCAATTCTCTCCAGCACAGCACGCCGAACCAACAGCATAATAGCTGAGAGGAGCAGGACTGAGGCCAACCAGAATAGTAAGAGCCAATTAATAAAAGCAGGCTAACTTATGCAGGGGTGAGGGGGGGTATATCCTTCCACAGGGAAGCAATCAATGCCGCCCGCTCGGGCCTCTCAGCCATAATGGGGAGGAGCGTGTGTGAGTATCCAAATGTATTACATATTGACTTGCCGGGGGAATAGGAACCGGACTGTCGCTCCCCAGAATGGTAGGAGCCTGAACCAGATGGTTCTGACGAACTGTAAAAAAAATAATAATAATAAAAAAAAGATTGGTCATTGTCCTTCGGGACATCCGTTAAAATTGGAACGATACAGAGAGAAAGAAGATTAGCATGGCCCCTGCGCTTTCAAGGATGACACGAATAAATCGAGAAATGGTCCCCTCGTTCCCCCCTTTCCAAAAAAAAAAAAAAAAAAAAAAAAAAGATTGGTCATTGTTCGTTGGAATATCTGTTGAATGGGATTAATAACATGCACAAACTGAGAAATGGTCCAAATAAACAAAAAAAAGGGTCGCTAAGTGTCTGTACCGAAGTGAATTTGTTAATTTTGTTTACAAATTACAATTCATATGCCTAACAGAGTTCCGTGGCGTTTGGAGTTTGACCATGATGACGACGAAGCGAATCCATGCCCAGACTTCAATTTGCTAAGTGAATCATTGTGGATGGCTTGGTGATTGGCAGAGCATGTTGTCGTACTCACGGAGGATTTGTCAGAAGCAAGAGGGTTTTCCAGTGAAGATGATGACACAAATGCTTCGAACAATATGTATGCCAATGATCTCACCAACACGATCGTGGTAACGGTTGTGGAGGGAATACACCGAAAACTGAGTAAAGAACGTTTGAAAAGGGGAGGACTGAGAAGGGATGATGTGAAGCAGGAGGGGTGCGTGACTGCTGAGCTGCGCTATAACCCGACATTTCGGTATGTAAAGCCTCTGACGCAGATTGATCCACTGACTGAGAAGAAGATGTCAAACAAGAAGACCAGAGATGGCCTCTACATGTTCCTCCCCTGCTACGCAGAAGGCAAGGCATTTGCACCAGACATGCTGGACTACGTCCTGTAAGTACCATTTCTACCCTACTGGTTCCAACCCCCTCCCATCGTGAGAATACTGTTCCACTTTTCTTTGCTATCTTGATTGCACAATCAGCACCCCAGAGTGTCCCTTTTGCTCTGATATTTCTCTTATGCATAACTCAAGTGACCTGTACAAAGTCGTATCTAGAGTCTTTCTGCTGTGCTCACTGCTCTTTGTTTTTTTCTCTCTTTTTCAGTTTGGACTCGAAGATTGCTTACTCATTGGCCTTGTGTTCAGCGTCCTATGAAAAAACAATATTTAATGCTTGGTGGTTAGCAGCCAGGCTTATATCCTAGTTTCCATACCCTTGCTTCTCTCTTCGAATGCCATGGGCTTGGGTAGCTTCACTAGGCCATACAAGGCAGGTGTAAAGGTGCATTGGCTGCAAAGGGAACTGTAGCAGGAAAGAAGAGACTGGTCTACACCTGCATGCAAGCGGACGCCGTGCGGAGAGCTCCACGTTTGGTGCACGCGCGGACCCGCACGGTGTGGCGCACGGGGGAAATATTCACTCAAAAAAAAAAGGGGTCTCATGGCTGGGTCAATGGTCACATGCGTCCCCTTTAAAGATTTGTTGCGGGATGGGGAAAAAAAAAAAAAAAACTAGCAGGAGGGTACTGCCGCTACTACTACTGGTGCGGCAACCTAAAGGTCAAGAATGATGTCCCAGACACCTTTTTGGGGCTATTTCTCATGCCCCAGAAATAGCCCCAAAAAGGGATGCCACGGTCAGTCAGTGTGAAGGAGTTGGCAAAGAGGGATTGTGAGAGAATTGGAGGATAGAAGCTGGGGGCCCGGGGGGGTGAGGCCTTAAACTGTAACTTCCGCCAGCAAGAGAGGATTTTGCACCAACAAGAGAGTGGCCGGGTGCATTAGCCATCCAGGTAGGACACGCGGTTAATGGAAGGCCCAAAATTCGGGGTGTTTTGCCGCATCACTACAAGCAATGTCATGGAAAATTTTGCGAACTAAAATTCGCCGAAAATAGCACCACACATTAACCACGAGTGTCCGGTAATCTGACGATTTGGGCTAGGACTGCCCGAGCAAGCTGCTTCCTTCTTGGTCATTGGCCATGACAAGCCGTACCACATTCCTGCATTGGAGTGAAAAAACCTGAATGGACGTGGTGACGGACAAGGAGAGAGGACACCAGCCTCATCACCTGGAAACATTGGTCTTTTACTGGTGGTATCTCAGCAGTCCAAGCACAGTCCTCAAGTGCTCCACATGCGCTTTTAGACTCCTACAAAACTGTCGGAGTAGTCATGACCACCTTTTGGCCATAACCTCACGTCTCTCTGCTCGGTTGCGACTAGCACTATGGTGGAAAATCCATGCTCATCACGGATCTTCAAAGGACAATGTAATCATTACTTTGGATCTCCCATCTCATTCCGCCATAGCTACACACTCAGACGAAGTCCTAGACCAACCAAGACCCACACAGGAACATTTTAGATCCAGTGCCAACCAAGGAAGTGAAGATGAAGATAAACCATAGCCACATGTGAGTCTTTCATATCGATTCCACTCTCTCTCCCCTTACTCATCCTCTTCACCCATATCTCACCCTTCTCCGTAGCCTGGCATGGGCCGCTTCAACCTCTACTACTCCACAGCCAAGGCCTACTCCCTCCTACTACTCCATAGCAAGGAGGTCTTCTTCTTCACCCTCCACTCAGCAGGAGCTCTGCCTACCTCCTCCCTCTGGGCCGAGCAGCAGCATGACTGCCACGTAAGATTCTGCTTCACTCAATGTGCCCGAACGATATACTCTTGCACCTCGGCCTCCAACTCCTCCAGGCCGGTTGCTATTGCCTCCACTGGCCGACTGGGCCTACCGGAAGTTCCTGCTTTTAGGTGGGAATCTGTACCTAGATACAGGCTCGGGACTTCTTCTCGAGTCTGACATTCCCAGCCTACCGGAGTTGAAACCAAAGGTGATTGGAGTATGAGGCCACACGGGTCTCCCAGGCGCAATCCGGGAGGGCCCTAAATGAAGGCCTGCCCTGTGTAAATTCGGCAGGGCCCTATGCGAACATCGGGCCTGTGAAAAGTGAGGCCCGGGCAGTTTGGGAAAAGGCCAGGTCAGACCGGTCTGGGTACCGACCAGGCCCGGCAGGCAGCAGCCTCGTCCAAAAGGTAGGCAGTGCCTACTCGCCTGCCCAGATGCCGACCATGGCACAGAGGAAGAGGCCAGGCAGCAAAGGCCGTCTTAGGGGTGGCAGATGCTGCTATGCTGCTTCACTGCATGACCCCAATTGAAAGACAGGCGAGAGTGGGCTCGCAGTAGCCAGGGAAAGTTGGCAGACAGCACCACCCATAGCTGCACTGGGGGTGCCTGAGGCAGAAGGTGGCTCGTGGAAGAGAGATCCTAGAGGAGGACAGGCATAGGGAGAAGGTGATTGGCCAGGGACATACCTGGTGGTCCACCACGACGAGCTCGAGCGTGGAACATTCTAATTCCAGGCGTCCGTTCCAGCTGCATTGCACTCTGCGGCATTTTACACTGGCATCATATGGCCTAGAGGGTACTGGATAGAGTACGGATGGCATAAGCTGGTAGTGGGAACAGCAAGAGCAGATAGCTGTCATTGTTGGTGTATTTATTATGTGGAAGCGATAAGGGAACTTCTCGGCATCCATGTTCGACAACGTTGTCCATTCTCGTGCTGGTGCGATCACTACTTTTCTTTTCCAACTGATTCCTTTGTTCCCATATGAATGTCCTTTTTTTTTCTTTTCTTTTTTTTAAATATAAACAGGTCCTTATGGTCCTGGCTCCATATCCATCCTGGGGAGCGTCAGTCCGGTTTCTTTCCACCGGCAAGTCGAAAAATGGAGTACATGGTGAACACCCTCACGCTTCCTTCCGTCTGGCCGAAGGAACCCTGACCAGCATTGATTGCTCCTTGTAAGGAGGATTGACTGTCAGCTTGCCCTACCACGTTTCCTCTCAGAGTCTACTATGTCTCTGTCAGATATGCAATCAGACTCGTTCTCAAACACACTTTTCATGCATGTAAACAGCAACGCAGCATACTGGCGACATGCGCCCACTCAAAACTCAGAGATATGGCTTTCAGATACGAGTTCACTCTCAATTGGCTATGGCGACTTCAGCGCCCAAACATCTCACTGTTCACATACACTGGATCACCCTGGATATCCCACACGCGTCACTCTAACACTCGAGCACACACACACACTCACTACTAACTACAGCTCTGGATGGCTGCCTCTAACCTATCGCTATGCTAACTCCTCCTCTCTTGCCCACTGCGTCCTCCGGGCTCATCTGCAGACCTCCTTGCACAAGTCGCTGTGGCAGCGCTTCCGCATGGCTCACGCAGGAATCCATGAATGGCTGGGCGCTGCCTCTTGATTTATACTTCAGAAACTCGTTGGTCTGCCCTTTGCCATCGGCCCTTCGTGCTTACAGTCCCCCTGTGGTACTTGCTGGACCGGACTGGGACTGACTGGACCTTCCGTTGACTGACTGTGGACTCACCGCTATCCTACCGCCGTTGCACTGCTGTTGCACTGCAGTTTAGTCCACCACTTGCCTCACCACTTGACAACTTGCCCACTTGCCTACCTTCTAGAAGGTCTACAGCTAAGCTTCCAGAACTCACTAAGACTCCTATGCTATAGACCTACAGATCGAACCCCTGCTGTCTATGGACCTACGACAGGTCTACCAACTGCCTACGAATACACAGGTCACAGGTTCAATTCTCGGGGTCTACACAGATACTGTACATGGGTAGGGTGAGGTCTAGGGATCGAACCCTGGGTACTGCATCCGCTACTGCTAAAAGGTGAAAACCGTTTCACTCCCGCCGTCCTAAATTCGAGGTCCTCCGAGAAAATTTTAGTCCAAGGCAGGACCTTTACCTTTCTTGTCACGCTCATAGGCCCTGACTATGTCGGGAGCGGTCTCTAGAAGTTCTGCTTTCGTGAACCAGTGGTCGTCTTCCGGCTCCTGGTAAGCAAACCAAACCTTATACTGTTTCTGGGGACGACCTCTACCTCCTGTTCTAAACACATCTTCGTCTACAATGCCGTCAATGTCGTATCTTCCATCCATATCCAGAGGGATCATGGATCTCCTCGAGGGGAACTGTTCACTTGTGACACACGGCAGTAACTTGGAAGCATGGAAGACTGGGTACGTGTGGAGGTGTGCTGGGATCTCTATAGAATAGGACGGTCCATCCTCTCAGCCTTTGACTTCAAATACCGGCCACGGTCCTCTATAGGCAGGCAATAACTTCTGCGAGATGTGCTCCTCAGGTGCAAACTCTTTAGACTTGACCCAGACTAAGWCGCCTACTTGAAACTGTGAGGGGCGACGRTGCTTATTAGCCTGTTCTATCATTCTATGTTGGGTCTTTCTGAGGTTCTCAACAACAGTTGCTAACTCTTTCTCATGCTGCAAAGCAAACTCCCTGGTTCCGGGCGGTATTCTGTGAATCTGGTCCCGGTTCAGTCCTTCGAACGGTCTGCGTGGTCTAAAGGGCTTGTGCAACTCATTGGGAGTGCGGCAGGTGGATAGATGCACGCTGTTGTTGTATGCACTAGCTACTTTAGGCAACATCTCATCCCAGTTAATCTGTTCTGGTCTAATGTACATGCGCAGAACTTGCTGTAGGATCTTGTTCATCTGTTCTGTCTGACCGTTAGTCTCTGGGTGACGGCCAGATGACATTAACAACTTAGATCCGTAAACTCTCATGAGTTCTTGCCAGTTCTGGCTGGTGAAGCGACTATCTCTATCACTAACAACTGACAATGGGATTCCATTCTCACTAACCCAAAAGTCAAAAAAACTCTGTATAACTAAGCCCGTACGTGCCTCTGCAGGCAAAGGAACGAAAACTGCATATTTGCTAAAACGGTCAACTATGACCATGACTTGGCTCTTACCATGTCTACTCTTGACTTGGGTGTCCATGAAGTCTATGGACACTGAGTC